ATTTGTTTTAAGTCAGTGAATCTGGCTTACGCGCATTGACTTTGCGGGTCAGATCGCAAAAGGTGATCTTACAAGACACGGCAACCGTCATAAATATGAGCCAGTTGCCAAGCGTCCGAATTTTGATCATGGGGCCACAGAAATGCTAGAGTGATTGTAAGTATGAAAAACAGTCACAAAGTCACTTTTTCAGTGCCATTTTAAGTTCAGTCACTAAATGAAGGTTTCAGGTTGAAGATTACCTGTGCAATTTTGCTGTTTTTAGTTGATCCTGGTAAAGGTGATAGAGATATGTTGTGTCAGTTTTTTTTTCTGGAATAACAAGGCTGCACATACATAAACAGGGCTTTAGTACAACTCAAGAAGAGCCAGAATCAAGAAAAGCTCCAGCTTCAATACATGTAGCCAATTAATTTCATTACACTTAATTAACTGCACTGTGATAATGTGAGTCCCTTTGAACTGCAAGATGGGAGGCAAATAAATTTGATAATAAAAAATAAAATAGCATGTAATTAAGTACACTTAATGATTGCATTGTTATTAACCTAGAGGTTGATTACATTAACCCTACATTAGTTCTCTTCAGGTATTTGTGCTGTAACATTGTGTAATCTTAAGTTTCTTTAGTTAGTTCGAGCTTCGGTGTACGGTGCAAAGTTATAAAAATCAATTTACTTTATAACAAAGCCAGGTGCATTGAGTTAGCACAGCTAATAAAAAGCTGTGGATGATGAGCAAGAATTGAGGATATTGTAGGGGACAACCAGGCTGATCCCGAAGGCGGAGTCAAATGCATCATCAGTTTGGATTCTCTACGCCACCATCAGGGATCTAAGTCCTGCCCCCCCCCCTCCTGGAAATCTGTTAACTCTTATCTAGTGCCAATTTGCCTTGAATGTTGATAGATCAGATTCTCATAGATACTGTAGGTAGCATGGAATAAACTCATCGTGCTTTTGAACTCTTATCCTGGCTCCTGATTTCTTGTGCCTGACAGACGCCTGTCATGTTACCAGAAGTCAAACTTGACACTTGTTTCCTGATACTGGATGTGCAAATGTTAAGGCATGGGGGGGTTTTGATTTCTGGTGATACATGTCACCTGACCCAGTTAGGTGTTTTGGCCCTGTGGACGCAAATGTGTGCGGTTCCTCAGATTCAAAGGCCACAAGGTTTTATGAATTATTTATTGAGTCCATTTCTAAACGCCATCCGCCACTTAAAAGAAACGATACGATCGGTTAAGAACACAGCTAGTTCTCGAGTTATGACTGCTTGCTTAGCGAATGTTTGAAATTACAATCTGCCTGGAAAAAGGGACTTATGACCTAGTTCCAAAGTTCCGACAGGCACCCTTCCCCACTGACACACGTCTGCATTTCAGGCTCAGTTACAGTCGTAGGCCGAGAACTAGGCCTGTATCGCATTGATGAGAAATCAACAGAGGCTGGAGAAAATCACTGGCTGCTTGCAAGAATTAAAAGCTGATCAATATCTGAGTTATTCTTAGAACCCGGTGAAATAAACCTAACTCTCAATTTCTGAAACGAACCTGGCTGAAGCCACACAGGTTGGAGGTATACGCGCATGGTTGCAGGTCTCCCTTGCTGTTTTTTTTTAAGGAACTTCTTTCTCTTTAGGGGAGTCCGACTGTCAAGTTCTGAAACGAACCTGGCTGAAGCCACCTTTGTCGTTCTCAGTTGCCACACAGGTTGGGTGGGTGGGTGGAAGAAACCGAAAGGATTGCTAGCCTAAATACAGAGTGATCCCGTGGGAACCAAGGTCATTCCCACAGCTGCTGGAAGGGGGGGGGAGAAGTGTCACGGAGCCCGCCAATTGCCCTCATTGGGTAGCGTGTTCAGTAGCGTAGTAGGGGGAGGGACGTGTAACACTTAGCTACATTGAATTCCTAGGGCAGGGGCAGGCTCTTTTATGACTCGTGGACTTCAACTCCCAGAATTCCTGAGCCAGCCATGCTGAGAGGAAAGGGAGAGGTTTCCAAGCTGAGCCATGGCGGCTCAGGAATTCTGGGAGTTGAAGTCCACGAGTCATAAAAGAGTCAAGGTTGCCTACCCCTGTCCTAGGGCAGTGATGGCGAACCTTTTAGAGACTGAGTGCCCAAACTGCAACCCAAAACCCATTTATGCATCATCGAGTGCCGGGTGGGTGTGGCCCATTGGCTGGGTATGGCTCATTGGGTGGGCGTGGCCCATTGGGTGGGCGTGGTCTGCAGTGGTAACGGCAGACTGGGTGGGACTAAAAAGTTCAATCAATTCCAACTTTGTAAGACCTTTTTTTTTCCCGCGAGAAGTTGAAATTGAATCTTTTTTTTTTTTTGCACACGGCGGCGGAGGCCTAAAGCGAAAAAGTTTTATAAAAAACCCAGCTGAAGGCCTAGGACTGGGGCGACGGTGCGCGTGCCCACAGAGAGGGCTCTGAGTGCCGCCTCTGGCACCCGTGCCATAGGTTCGCCACCACTGTCCTAGGGGGCAAAATTTAGAGTTGGTTTCACTTTTGACCGTTCCGATATTATGTATCCAAAACCATTTCTTTGAGGAAACTTCAAGCCTCGGAGTTCTGATTTGTTTGGGTCCATTAGTCGGAACCTTGACACTAACTTAATGTAGGGTGTAAAATGAAAAGGGTTGGAATGAAAAACGAAATGGACTCGAACTCATTTTATCGAACAGCAGAAATTTATTCAAACAGAATGCTGAATGTTACTGTAACTGTTCTGATACTGTTTTTCTTACAAAAGATGTTTTCTAAATCCCTCCCAATTCAGGCAAGGACATTTTTACTATCGGGATCGTAGAGAAACACTAAGAGAGTTCGACTTTTAACACCTGTGCGTATAAACTCAGCACATTTTCAAGTAAAAACATAAACCTACTTCCAAAATAGTTTAAATAGCAAAATTACCCGAACCTCTGTTTAAGAATTTCTGCAAAAAATACTTCTTCTTTTAAAACAATCAGTAAATTAAATAATGAGTAAAAAAAAATCCCCACATATATATATATATATACATATATATACAAATATACAGCGAACTCTCTTCTACTACCAGGTAACACACCTGACTAATCCCAGGATATATAAACTCCATTGTTTTTTGGGCAAGTTCCGATTCTGGCTATGTAGAATTGTGCTGCAGTCACCAAAATGAGTAACTCCAGTCCAAAACACAGAAGTCTCTAAAAATGGAAATAAAAAACTGATGCTCCTTGGTTCCCACAGATCCAGGTGTGCTACTAAGTATGTAGTTTGTATCTGATAGCAAAAAGAAATGTCGGACCTGTTGTGCATTTGCTGTAAAGCCTCCCTCTCTTCCTAAAATTTGGGGGACAAAGTTACCATTTGCTTCCCTTTAGAGGGGCGATGACCAGTTTCCCTCACTTTGTCTCCCGCGTTCAACACTGACGGGCTAACTAGGACCTACCATTTTTTCCCTGTTCAGACTTCAGGGTACACTCCAGGATTGTTCTGCCATCCTTTATGTCCTGCGCCTTTTTGCTGCGCTGGGACTGGAGGGATTGCTGTTTGCATTTAAGACCTTCTCTGTGACTCTGTTCCGCTTTCTCTTATCTCCTCCTTCTTTGCATCCGGGCTCAGAGGAGCTTCGTTCCTTCTCTTTACTGCTGGGTTTTTCAGTGGCTTTTGTCAGGTTCCCCAGAGAAGCATAAACTGAAACAAAATGATCAGACCACGATTTGAACGACATCTCCATTTCCAGGCTGCAATGGATTTGCACGCACTTCTTTCCATACGCGATTGTAGCTTTTGTTAAGAAATATACTTTAACATAATGCCTAGTTTAATGAAGAGAAGGACGAGGGGGGACATGATAGCAGTGTTCCAATATCTCAGGGGCTGCCACAAAGAAGAGGGAGTCAAGCTATTCTCCAAAGCGCCTGAAGGCAGGACAAGAAGCAATGGATGGAAACTGATCAAGGAGAGAAGCAACCTAGAACTAAGGAGAAACTTCCTGACAGTTAGAACAATTAACCAGTGGAACAACCTGCCTCCAGAAGTTGTGAATGCTCCAACACTGGAAGTTTTTAAGAAGAGACTGGACGGCCATTTGTCTGAAATGGTATAGGGTTTCCTGCCTGAGCAGGGGGTTGGACTAGATGACCTCCAAGGTCACTTCCAACTTTACCATTATTATTATTATTATTATTATAGAACTGAGGAGAAACTTCCTGATAGTTAGAACAATTAACCAGTGGAACAACCTGCCTCCAGAAGCGGTGAATGCGCCAACACTGGAAGTTTTTAAGAAGAGACTGGACAGCCATTCGTCCGAAATGGTATAGGGTTTCCTGCCTGAGCAGGGGGTTGGACTAGATGACCTCCAAGGTACCTTCCAACTTTACCATTATTATTATTATTATTATTATTATTATTATTATTATTATAGAACTGAGGAGAAACTTCCTGATAGTTAGAACAATTAACCAGTGGAACAACCTGCCTCCAGAAGCAGTGAATGCGTCAACACTGGACGTTTTTAAGAAGAGACTGGACAGCCATTCGTCCAAAATGGTGTAGGGTTTCCTGCCTGAGCAGGGGGGGTTGGACTAGATGACCTCCAGGGTCCCTTCCAACTTTATTATTATTATTATTATTACTATTATTATAATCTATAAAACGTGGCCATTCTATCCACAATTTGTCCAATTCTTCCTTTTGTATCTAGTTAACTACAGGTAGTCCTCGAGATACGACTGTAATGGAACCTGTCCGTCACGGTCGTATGTTGTAATGAGTTGTTTGGTCATGTGACCCAGCCAGTTTTACCACTTTTGTGGCAGGCGTTAAGCAAATCACCACGGCTGTTCAGCAAGCCAGTGACTTTGCTAAAAACTGGGAATGCTTGTTTTTGGCAAAACTGGCATAAAAACGTGGTCACATGACTGGGGGACACGGCAAAGGGCTGTTGCCAAACACCTGAAATTTGGCCACAGAAAGAGCCCGACCGTCAGAACTTTGAATATATAATGAGATCTCATGAATAGGGATAGAGTTATAGGGACATGAAGTCCACATATCTTAAGGTTGCCACAGTTGAAAAGCATTGCAACAGGCCAGTTTCTCACCTCTTAACAACAACAACAATAATAAAATTGGAAGGGACTTTGAAGGTCATCTAGTCCAACCCCCTGCTCAGGCAGGAAATCCTATACCATTTCAGACAAATGCCTGTCCAGTCTCTTCTTAAAAACTTCCAGTGTTGGAGCATTCACCGCTTCTGGAGACAGGTTGTTCCACTGGTTAATTGTTCTAACTGTCAGGAAGTTTCTCCTTAGTTCTAGGTTGCTTCTCTCCTTAGTTAGTTTCCATCCGTTGCTTCTTGTCCTGCCTTCAGGCGCTTTGGAGAATAGCTTGACTCCCTCTTCTTTGGGGCAGCCCCTGAGATACTGGAAAACTGCTACCATATCCCCCCTCGTCCTTCTCTTTGTTAAACTAGACATACCCAATTCCAGCAACCGTTCCTTATATGTTTTAGCCTCCAGTCCCCTAATCATCTTTGTTGCTCTTCTCTGTACTCTTTCTAGAGTCTCAACATCTTTTTTACATCGTGGTGACCAAAACTGGATGCAGTATTCCAAGTGTGGCCTTATCAAGGCATTGTAAAGTGGTATTAATACTTCACGTGNTTGAGCAAGGTACCCCCTATACTATACCTGTACATTTGGTTTTTCTTGCCTAAATGTAGAACCTTACTTTTTTCACCATTTAATTTCATTTTCAACCCCAATCCTTTGCTGACAGTCTGCCTTCTGAAACAATTTTTTTCATGACATGCACACGTGAGGACTAACAAGGGCCAAAATCCTGTCTTACAGAAGACGTGTCTTTCATCTAGCAAAATACCTTCTTCAGCAGTGGAGTGCCCTTCCATCTCTTCCTTTATTTCTTCCTTCACATCGTCTTCTATCATGACTTTACCTGTGCAAAAAATGAAAAGCAGATCAGTGGGAAAGCAGGGAATTTTAATGTCTTCCTTCAGGTGATCTTAGAACAGTGGTTCTCAACCTGTGGGTCGGGACCCCATTTGGGGTCGATCGACCATTTCATGGGGGTCGCCAAGCAAGGCTGTCCGCCATTTTTTTTGTCCGCCATTTTTTCCCCTTTTCCGGCAGGTGCCTTACCTCCCTTGGGCTGGGCCAGCTGGTGGTCGGCCTGCTCCGTCTCTGCCGCTTGCCAGCTACGCCTCGGCCGGCGCAGAGGGCAGACCCACGCATGCGCGGCCCTCCTGGGCAGGGAAAGTCCTCAACTTACGACCGGTTGGGTAGTCCTCGACTTACGACCGGTTTAGTCCTCGACTTACGACTGGTTTAGTCCTCGACTTACGACCGGTTGGGGTCGCGGCATTAAAAAGGTTGAGAACCACTGTCTTAGAAGGTCTCCCAAGTGTGTTTGGGGGCAAAAGGATTTTTTTCACCGCCAGTTCCTGCTGCCACCAAAAGCCCTTCAAATCATTTGAAACTAGATTTGGTGGACATGTGATAAAGAATTATTGGAAAAAGATACATACTTGGCTAGAACAGATGTTAGGAGAACATGTTGATTTTAAACCTGAACTTTTTTTATTAGGTATAATGCCAGAAAAGACTAATAAACAAAGCTTATACTTGACTTTGCATATCACAACAGTGGCAAGAATTATATTTGCGCAACACTGGGAAAATGAAGGAATCCCATCAGATGAAGAAATAATTAAAAAAATACTAGAATGCGCAGAGATGGAGAGATTGACTATGAGACTGAAAGAAAAAGAAGAAATGGACTATTATCAGACCTGGAATTTATTTTACCATTGGCTGGAGGAAAGAAGACAGGATTAGGAATTAAGTATGTATTAGTATGTAAACTCAAGACAGCACGTTGGTTGAAAAATTACTATTGTATGTATGGGAAAAAAACGAATAAAAAAAAACTTATACAAAGAAAATGGTAGAAAGTAATATGTATTTTTTCAGTTTACATTCAACCGGTGCTGTCCTAAAATCTCTTTTTTGTTTGGCGCAAAAAAGAGAACATTCCTATTCCATCTCTAAAACTGACGGCATCATGACCTAAATCTAACTTTATAGTTTTGGCAAAGGGATAAATGTCTCTGTGCTCACTGCCCATTGCTCTTCCCACACGTCAACAGATTTCAAAGTATAGGTAGTCCTCGACTTACAACAATTGAGCCAAAAATTTACGTTGCTAAGTGAGACATTGGTTAAGTGAGCATTGCCCCATGTTACGGCCTTTCTTGCCACAGTTGTTAATTGAGTCACTGCAACTGTTAAGTTAGCGACGTGCTTGTTAAGTGAATCTGGCTTCCCCATTGACTTTGCTTGTCAGAAGGTCGCAAAAGGGGATCACATGACCCGGGGATGCTGCGACCGTCATAAATATGAGTCCGTTGCCATGTGTCTGAATTTTGATCACGTGACCACGGGGACGCTACAACGGTCGTGTGAAAAATGTTCGGAAGTCACTTTTTCAGTGCTGTTGTAACTTTGAACAGCCACAAAATGAATGAGACTACCTGTACCTTTTCTATCCGGAAAACATTGAAAGGAACATTGTATTTACTTTAATTGCTCCCTTTCCACCAAAGATGAATAGCATCCTCCTAGATCAGGGGTAGGCAACCTTGGCTCTTTTATGACTCGTGGACTTCAACTCCCAGAATTCCTGAGCCAGCTATGGTCAACAATCTGGTCAACTAAAGTTCAACACTAAATTGGCACTCGATAAGGGTCAATGGAATTCAGGAGGGGCTGGATTCGGAGTGCTTGTGACAATGTAACAATTCTAAGCTGATGACACACTTAACTCTGCCCTTCATTCAGTTCTGCCTGCTGTTCTCCTACACCAGGGGTAGGCAACCTTGGCTCTTTTATGATTCGTGGACTTCAACTCCCAGAATTCCTGAGCCAGCTATGAAGTCCACGAGTCATAAAAGAGCCAAGGTTGCCTACCCCTGTCCTAGATGGAAATTTTCTCTGTCCCTTCAAGACATGAGCTGTGCTCTTTTTTCAAGGACAAAATTTAGTAGCCTTCCTTAATTCCACCATGGCCACTGCAAAAAATTCCGGCAGTTGAAGTCCATGCATCTGGAAGGCTCCGAAGACAGCTCAAGTTTACAAATTTCTCCAAACTTTTTGAAAATAGAGCAGGTTTACAAAGCTGTTCCATCTTGGTCTGGAAGCTTTACCTGTGCTATCGTTGGAAAGCCTTCAAAAAGGGATGCCAGTTTGGACGATGGCAGAAAACAGCTTCCCAAACAAGCTGCGGCATTTTCATACACCTGTGCTGTCTACAGAACGCCTTCAAGAAGGCGCTACAGTTTGCTTTGAAAATTATGGATATAAATTGAGGACTACCTGATGCTGATTTTTGGTCATTTGAAGACATATCTTTCAGTATAATGGCTTAGGCTGCAATTCTATGCAAACTTTGCATAGTGTCAAGATGAGAAGAATGCTCATGCTGTTTCGGCCATTATTACTTCTTAGCTTGCTTACAGATTCAGGGGAGAAGGGAATGGAATGGAATGTGGATTGCAGGTTCCGAGCAGCCAGGCTGTGAGAATCAAGGTCACTAGTTCCAATATCTCAGTGGCTGCCACAAAGAGGAGGGAGTCAAGCTATTTTCCAAAGCGCTTGAAGGCAGACAAGAAGCAACGGATGGAAACTAACCAAGGAGAGAAGCAACCTAGAACTAAGGAGAAACTTCCTGACAGTTAGAACAATTAACCAGTGGAACAACCTGCCTCCAGAAGTTGTGAATGCTCCAACACTGGAAGTTTTTAAGAAGAGACTGGACAGCCATTTGTCTGAAATGGTATAAGATTTCCTGCCTCAGCAGGTGGTTGGACTAGATGACCTCCAAGGTCCCTTCCAACATCATCATCATCATTATTATTATCTTTTATTCATTAAACATGAACCTCAGTCAACTGAACATTCAAATTGGCTGGTGCTGATGGTTGACACGGGTTGCTACCAGCATCCTAGGTGTCAACCAGGTACCTCCTTAAAATATAAGATGTTCCGAGTAGCGCAGTTTTTTGTAACATTGCTGGAGTTATTGCAGGAAGCTGCAGTTTCTTGATGTATTTTGCAAAGTTTTTGGACATAGTTCCCAATGCCCCGATGACAATGGGTACCACTGTTACACGTTTCATCCATAATCGCGCAGTTTCATAATTTTTTCCAGTTCATTACTATTAATATTAATATTATTATATGCTGTTTACAAAGAACTGAAGACTTTCTCTCGTAATATCTGTCTGAAGCTTAACTGGACAATGTGACCTGCACTATTAGTGAAAGGGGGGGTTTCTGTACTTTTATATGCTGAGTCTGGCGCCAAATAAGTTAGAGCTAGCTTTCCTCTCGTCTGTGCCAAAGTGATGTACTCAATAAAGTTCTGCATTAGAGATTGGACTGTCTCAGCTGTGCTTACTTTGTTGGCTTCGTCAGTCGGAACCATGACAGTAAGATCCTTGTTTGCAAGAAATATACCGTACATCCAAACGTCTCACCTTCTTTTACTTCTTGAAAAATTTCATCAGGGAGGATGAAGTTTTTTTCCGAATTGGGAAAAGGAAGAATCTCCGACTCGTGCTTAAAAAGAAAAACAAGAAATCTTTAAACTGATTATGCCAACCTTTCGATTTTTTTTTCAAAATAAACATATAGAAAATACGATTTTGCAATCCTGGCATATTTAGAAAGAGCTCCTGCTTTGTTTCTAGTCCTTCTTTTTTTTTGTGTGTGTGTTCTTTCTGAGCTCTAAACTCGTTTAGCGTATAAGATCAACACTTCTCAGTAGTTTGTTTTTAAAACTTGTATGTGTTGATGTTTGATTTTGCATTTATATTATTTCATTCTCTTATGTCTTTGTTTTTTTATTGTATTACTGTACTGTGTGTTACCGTAAATCATGCTGTACAAAATATAATTACTCTGTGTGGTATCACTGTTGCCTATGATACTGAAGATCAACAAATAAAATTTCCTTTAAAAATGAAAATATACAAAACTGCAATTTGTTTATCTTTCCCACATATTATACAACCCCTAAATGGGTGCTACAGATACATGGCATGTGCATAAGAAAGACATTAACTAGACCTAAACTACCATTGCCTTCTCAGATGAATTTTAGATCTTGTGATCTCTTTTCAATTCTCTGTTTCCAAGCTTTTTCGCTGATCACAATATTTCAATACCTACAGAGCTTTCTGCAGGCCTATTTAAAAAGCAAGGACAAGATGAAAGGATAAATGTGCGCACGATATAAAGCATATAATCATATATATTGTTATCAACCCAAATCAATTCACTGCAGGATGAAGGTCTCTTTATTGAAGGTTGGGGCCATAATCTACCCAGTTTGTCCAGTGTGGGTGGACAGACAGGGGTTTCTTTTGATTTCCCAATCTAGTGACTAGCCCCAAGTGATCCAGTCTGCTTGCATGCCAAAGGGAGGACTAGAATTTGAGTCTCCCCCACTTATATGCAACCCCTGAACTGCACTGGTTCTTATACCCAAATCGAACATCTAGCATAGTGATGGCGAATCTATGACATGCATGTCAAAGGTGACACAATGTTTTGGGTGACACACTAGTGTTCACCAACACCCTGATTTTTGGAGGCTGTGCAAAAATGGGGTGTGCTTTTATCTGGTTCCAAACATGGGTTTCACTTGTCTTTCATTTTTATAATTATTTGACATTTATTTACATAATACACCACACACGATTGCACTGTAATTTTTAAAAAATAAATTAACTGTTTCTCTTTTGTTAGATGGGCTGATATGTCAACAGAGTTCAAATTTGGCATTTTCCGAATTTTTGACACACTGAGCCCAAAAGGTTCAAGATTGCTGATTTAGCCTGTATTTCCAAGAGAGTGCTCTGGACCCAACACAATTTCTTTGGTACTGTTATCAGCCTCAAAGTCAGGAGTTCCCAAAGACTGAAAAATAGCTCATGTGGAATCTTTTTGTCTGCCCGCAGCTCTGATGCACAATAGAGATGGAAAGGACCACATAGCAATGGTTTCCCTCTGAAAGAACAAACTATCATTTCTACACCTGACCTGGGTTGCAGAGCAGGCATGTTCTATGACCAGCCCTCATTGCTGTAATTCAGCAGAGACCTCTGTTTTTCACCTGTCAATGCTTACCAGTGCCTGCATGTCATACATTGTGCTCAAGTGGTCCCAGATAACTTTGGAAGAAATTTGCCTCCCAATATTCTGACTAAATTTATCTCGGATACAGATCATATGAAAATGGCGATTCACACCTGAAGGAGAAATAAAGAGTTAGAATGGTAGAGAGTGGTAAATGCTACATTAATTAATTAACACAAAAAGAAAGCCTCTTTTGTATCACACTTAACTCCTGATGGTTTATGCAGTGTTTCTCAACCTTGACAACTTTAAAGACGCATGGATTTCAACTCCCAGAATTCCCTACCCAGAATGAGGAATTCTGGGAATTCAGCACACACCTGAAAGTTTCCAAAGTTCAGAAACACTGATTTAATGGGCACATCCATGATTCTCCTTGGATGTTATACAGAAGTTTAAATTTTTTTTAGCATTCCCTGGAAGTCTCTAATTTCGTTATTATCCATAATTGTTCCTGTTTAATTTTCATGTCCAAACAGAGTTCCTGCTGAGGTCACAAGCTACTTTATAAATACTGCAATACAAATCTCTTTCCCAAGATGCCTAGTTTAAAAACTCCACAGTTGATCAAGAATACAACTTGCCATATAGATTATCAGCTGATTTGGTTGAAGGAAATAAGAAGTGCTTTTGGATAAGGGAATTTTTTGCAAAAATGACATGCTTTATCCACCAAGCATAAATGATTTTGTGGGGCAAATGAGAGTTAACAAATCAGCCATTTTTGTCTCTGTGAAGGTATGCATAAAGTAACAGATCACACTCCTTATGCCAAGTTAACATGGAAAACAAAAACAAACCCTCCAGGCTGCAATCAAGGAAAGCAAAACCTGATGAAAAAAATATATATATGCACAAATAATTTAGATTCCAAGGTCTTCTTGGCCAAAGCCTATTCTCTTGTAAAGGCCAACATACAATCACGATGGAATATACAGCAACTACACAAACCACACAAATACAATCTGCTTCTGCCTGCAAGATCTTAGCACTAATTTGGGGTTTGTGAATTTCTGGGGGAGCTGGTCTGGTTTTAAATTCCACATTTATAAAATGAGGGCTCCAACATCCAATACTTTCAATTATTAGCGACTTTCTTCTCAATTCAATCCAAGAAAGAACCAAAGTCAGAAGCTTCCTCCAATGGAACTAAATATTTGAGGAGTCCCCTAAAATGAGCTCTAAGCAAGAATACAGAAGCCCCTTGCCCTTCCCTCATTCCAGTTCATTGAACCTGGGCTCTCCTGGTGGTCTCCCATCCAATAATAACCAGTAATAACCAAGGCCAGCTCAGCTATTTAAGGTCAAAGGCAGCTGGCCGCCCTGCAATTTGCTCTGGAAGGAAACAAAAAAAAAGATGCATTTTCAGTCCAAATGACCCCTTTCACTACTAACGCCTGAAAAGTTAGAAAATCTTCTGCCTCCGGCCAAACAAATTTGCGATAACTGCAATCCAGCGAAATTAGGCCGGTTTGGCAAGAAAGTCCCGGGCCGAAAGTGGAAGGCCCAGACCCCGCGCTGCCGTTAAGGATCCCGCCCGCCTCCTCGCGCCCGCCTCGGCTGGAGCCGCTACTCGAGGCCGAGGCTCGCCTTGCGGCCTGCTTCTCCACCACCACCACCCCCGCCCCGCCTAGCACTCACCGACTGGCTTGTGGCCCAGCATGGCGTGGAAGAGGCACACCTCCACTTCGGGGCTCCACACCACCGGCAACGGCAGCAGCGGCGGCGGAGGCGGCGGCGGAGGAGCCGCCGACGTGGCTGCCATCGCGGCCGAAGCGATAGCGGCCGCTGCAGCCGCCGCCGCGTCCTCCGACGACGCTTGAGGCCCGGGCTCCATCGCTGCCGGAGCAGGCCCAGGGCCCAGGCCAGGGCAAGGGGGCTTCACCTCCGCCGCCCCGGCCGAGCTCTCCGCTTCGCCCATGGCCGCCGCCGAGGCCCATCCGGAGGCCCAGCGCCCCCTGGCGGCCTCGCGGGGCTGCAGCATCAATGGCTGAGGATCTGCTCTCAGCATCTCAGCTTTTGAGGCGAGTGAGTGGATTATGGGTTCAGGAGTCCTTGGTGCTGTCTGAGCTTGGTTCTTTCATTACCCAAACTGGGTAACATCATCACCGCTAGTCAGGGAGTAAAGTTTGCTCTCATTTTATCAGGGAGTAAAGTTTGCTCTCATTTTATACTGGTAGCCCTGTACAGTTCATTTAGTAATAATAATAATAATAATAATAATAATAATAATAATAATAATAATAATAACAACAACAATAACAATAACAATAATAATAATAAATTTGGAAGGGACCTTGGAGGTCATCTAGTTCAGGCAGGAAACCCTATACCATTTCGGAGAAATGGCTGTCCAGTTTCTTCTTAAAAACTTCCAGTGTTGGCGCATTCACCGCTTCTGGAGGCAGGTTGTTCCACTGGTTAATTATTCTAACCGTCAGGAAGTTTCTCCTTAGTTCTAAGTTGCTTCTCTCTTTGGTTAGTTTCCACCCGTTGCTCCTTGTCCTGCCTTCAGGCGCGTTGGAAAATAGCTTGACTCCCTCTTCTTTGTGGCAGCCCCTGAGATTTTGGAGCACTGCTATCATGTTCCCCCTGGTCCTTCTCTTCGTTAAACTAGACATACCCAATTCCAGCAACCGTTCCTTATATGTTTTAGCCTCCAGTCCCCTAATCATCTTTGTTGCTCTTCTCTGTACTCTTTCTAGAGTCTCAACATCTTTTTTACATCGTGGTGACCAAAATTGGATGCAGTATTCCAAGTGTGACCTTACCAAGGCATTGTAAAGTGGTATTAATACTTCACTGAAAAAAGTGACTGATGATTTTTCACACTTATGACTGTTGCAGCATCCCCATAATCATGCGATCAAAATTCAGATGCTTGGCAACTAATCCATATTTGTGACCTTTTCATAAACAAAGTCAATGGGGAAGCCAGATTTGTTTAATAACCAAGTTACTAACTTATCAACTTCAGTGATACACTTAACAACTGTGGCAAGAAAGGTCGTAAAATGGGGCAAAACCCACTTAACAAATGTCTCCCTTAACAACAGAAATGTTGGGCTCAATTGTGGTCGTAAGTCTAGGACTGCCTGTAATGTTGTGGCTTGGCCTGGGGTGGTCTCAGAGATTTTTTGGTTGAATTCAAGGTTGGTTGCTTGAGCAGGGTCCGTAAGATTGTCTGGGACACTACACACCCTCTCCACGACCTGTTTTCCTTGTTACCTTCTGGGAGGAGGGGGCTCCGTGGTATCCGAAGCAGAACATCCAGATTCAGCCCCAGTTCTGTTCCATACAGTATCAACCTTGTGAACCCTCAAGCTTCCTCCTTCCGTTATGTATTCAAGATGGACAGTGATTAATATTTATATGTTACCTATATGTAAGGTTGTAAGTCTACACATATGTTGTATATAGGATGTTTTAAATGTGTGTTATGTATGTGTACACTTTAAGAGCAAGCAATTAAATTTCATTTTTAATGCGTGCTATTGTGTCCACAGTAAAAAATGACAATAAAGGTTATCTAATCTAATCTAATCTAATCTAATCTAATCTAATCTAATCTAATCTAATCTAATCTAATCTAATCTAGGGCAAGGAGAATTTATTAGTTCTTTCTTTCTTTATTTTTCAGCATCCAACCAGGGTGGATTCTTTATGTTTAATGTTAGACCTATTTGACATTTGGGATTTTTTTTGTGTTTCCTTTTTTTTTTGTACCCAAGACTTTTTCCCCCCTTTTTGTTGTTAGTGTTGGATGTTTGTTTTTCTGTTTTGTATTTTATTTTTGTTGATTAAAAAAAGAAATATGAAAATATTTATATATGGATAAAAAAATGCCAACTCCAGTCTGAAAATCTGGCTGACTGAATGATGAACCAATAATCTCATCATTTATATATGTATATTATATAAACATTGCTCTCCTGCAGGTTTATACGCAGGTATTCTGATACAGAAGCCTAAATTAATTCTTCATTTAGAATGTTGGATATTTGATTTGATTTGTTTTGCAAAGTTGATAAATCACTCCAAGTTTTCTTTCCAGGCGAAAGTGTGTATTATAAGTGTTTATAATGAAAGTTGTGGATATAATCCACAAAATATCCCTATTCTTTCATTTAGATTTTGATTTATAGCCATGAAACAGCATCTGTCCTCTTGTGGAGATTAAGTGTTCCTGTGGTTTGTTATTAATTTGAAATCTTAATCCTCCACTTGACATTAAATTAAATAATAACACGTTATACTCTAATGCCACAAATACCAAACTTCAGGGCAGTAAAATGAACTTATTAAAGAAAAATGAAGGAATGTTGGCAAAATCATCCCTTTGTATCTGAAAGTGAATTAAACCTCAAAACCTGCTCTATTATGGTGACAGTTTCTGTTAAATAACTTATTTTATTTATTGGAGCCTTGGTTGAGTTATGTAAATGAAAGAAATTGCCAAGTAAAAGATATCTAAGCTAAGAAAAATCTGCGGTTTTCAATCAGCCATTCATAATCATTTCAATGTTTTAACTTGATCAGCTGTATTCCTAACTTAACAACTGCAGTGATTCATTTAACAACTGTGGCAAGCAAGGTCGTAAAATGGGGCAAAATCCACTTAACAACTGTCATGCTTAGCAATGGAAATTGGGGGCTCAATTGTGGTCATAGGTCAAGGACTACCGGTATTGTGTTAATGTAACACTATTGCAGGTTGCAGTTCAAAACATAATTACTTTTATTTTTTTTGCCATGAAAACATTTCGCTTCTTATCCGAGAAGATTCTTTAGTTCTGAACTGAACTGAATGAACTGAAGAAGACCAGGGGTAGGCAACCTTGGCCTAGACTTTGAGTTAATCTTGAAAGAAATGCTACCTTTTAAGTTTCTCTCAAAAGTCCTCCTTAATAGCCAACATAGTCTTTCCTCAAAGTAGACAGTGACACGAGCCTGAATGCAACATTTAAAATTGGTGTCCCATTTCAGTCAGAATAGATCTGGAAAGGACCTTGGAGGTCTTCTAGTCCAACCCTCTGTTCAAGCAGGAGACCCTATAACATTTCAGACAAATGGCTGTCCTGTCTCTTCTTAAAAGCCTCCAGTGATGGAGTACCCACAACTTCTGGAGACAAGCCATTCCACTGGTTAACTGTCCTCAGTGTTAGGAAGCTTCTCCTTAATTCCAGGTTGCTTCTCCCCTTGATTAGTTTCCATCCATTGTTTCTTGTCTTGCCTTCTGGTGTTTTGGAAAATGATGATGGTGTTTTTACGGTGACTATGATCATGATTTATCACTTATACCTTTTATGTACACTGAGAACTTATGCAGTGAAAACAAATTCCTTGTGTGTCCAATCAAACTTGGCCAATAAAGAATTCTATTCTATTCTATTCTATTCTATTCTATTCTATTCTATTCTATTCTATTCTATTCTATTCTATTCTATTCTATTCTACTCCAGTACATTCCACTCCGTTCTGTTCCGTTCTACTCCACTCCACTCCGTTCCGTTCCATTCTATTCTATTCTATTCTATTCTATTCTATTCTATTCTATTCTATTCTATTCTATTCTATTCTATTCATTCTTTGTAGCAGCCCTTCAAATACTGTGTCCTAACATACAGGTAGTCCTTGACTTATGACCACAATTGAGCCCCAAAAATCTGTTGCTGAGCAAGACAGTTGTTAAGTGAATTTTAGCCCCATTTTATGACCTTCCTTGCCACAATTGTTAAGTGAATCACTGTTAAGTGAATCATTTGTTAAGTTAGTCCCATGGTTTGTTAATCATTTGTTAATCATTTGTTAAGTTAGTCCCATGGTTGTTAAGTAAATCTGTCTTCCTCATTGACTTTTCTTGTCCAAAGGTCACAAAAGGGGATCACAGGGTGCTGCAACTGTCATAAATATGAGTCAGTTGCCAAGTGTCTGAATCTTGATCACATGACCATGGGGAGGCTGCAATGGTTGTCAATGTGAAAAATGGTCATAAGTCACTTTTTTCAGTGCCTTTATAACTTTGAATGGTCACTAAATGATCTGTTGGAAGTCGAGGACTACCCGTATTGGGTGAACCCAGAAAATGAGTTAATTCAGTTTGCTTTATGAACTCTGTGTCTTTTTTCCTCTTCTAAGCCCCTCTTCTATGAAAGCCTTAGTAGTAGTAGTAGTAGTAGTAGTAGTAGTAGTAGTAGTAGTAGTAATAATAATAATAATAATAATAATAATAATAATAATAATAATAATAATAATGTTGGAAGGGACCTTGGAGGTCACCTAGTCCAACCCCCTGCTCAGGCAGGAAACCCTCTACCATTTCGGACAAATGGCTGTCCAGTCTCTTCTTAAAAACTTCCAGTGTTGGAGCATTCACCGCTTCTGGAGGCAGGTCGTTCCACTGGTTAATTGTTCTAACTGTCAGGAAGTTTCTCCTTAGTTCCAGGTTGCTTCTCTCCTTGATTAGTTTCCATCCATTGCTTCTTGTCCTGCCTTCAGGACAAGATGGAAATATTGATCCTAAAGCTCATTTTAGATGAAAACGTTACTGCCCATGGAATTTCCAATCTTTCTCTACTCCTTCAACCCTCTAATTCAGAAAAAAATCAGATAATTTTAATTTTAGCTTGTCCGCTGGTTCTATCTTGAACAGATAAATTCAGCCTATGTTTTTGCACAGTTTTATCCGATCAGGTAATATTGTGTTCTGATCTCAAGGCTGTGAAGCTAAGTAATATTAACCGTGATCTGGATGACCTCAAGCCATTATTGTCTAGGGTGCATGATGAGTGACGATGCATCAGACTGTCCTCATTAGATGCTCAGAAGATAAACTTATCAGTCGTATTTCTTATTACTGCGTTGCACACTCTAAAGCATTTAATGAGGTAGGAGAAACCATCGCCTAATGATGCTATTAAT